GCTCCTCTCCTCTCCATCCTGGATAATACATTTATGTCTACATTGCTTTCTATGTATACTGAAAACCATGAGTTCACATATATATCTCCAATTGCAATTCCACATCACAGATTACTCTCTTTTTATAATTGTTACCCATTCTCCAACAATAAGAACTCTGGCTCTCATTCCCTTACTACATCTCCTGAATTGCTCATTTCCCTTGTGTGATCAGTCTCCTGTCCCAATGATGCCACCCCTTGTCCACATGGGTACCTCCCTATCCAGACCTGGCACTGACTCAACCAAGATGACTTTGACAATCCCCTTAGATTGACTAAACTGTGGACATGCTTTTTCCTGATGATAGGCCCCTAACCAAATCTCTCCCTTTTCTTAAAGCATTTATTTTAGAATTTTTAATTGTAAATTCATTCTCTGCCCTATTACAATGCATGTAAATCTTCTTTCAACCTGTTGCCAATTTTACAACCTAGGGATTGTTTTTCTTAAAAACCAGGAAACTATGTCGTGGAAATGTAAACAAATGGAAGGTAATATCTATCTCTATGTCCCAGGCTCTGTGGGAGGTGGAATCAAAATGTGATGAGTCCCAAGCAGYCCTATTTACAGAGAAAAAATGCTTAAAAATCAGGAGTAACCCAATGTGCTCAACACATCTACCCCCTATACTAGTCAGCTTTTGCATCACTGTGACCAATATATCTGACAAGAACATCTTACTGTAATATAAGTTTATTATATTAAATCTCTCAAGATTTCAGAGGTTCAGTTCATGGTTGGCCCAAAGTGAAGCAGGCCATCATGGCAGAAGGATGTGGCAGAGGACATGGCTCAGGACATGGCAACCAGGAAGCAGAGGAGAGAGAGCTCCATTCATTAGGGTCAAAATATAAACCCCAAGACATACCTCCAGTGACCTACTTTCTCCAGGCACACCCTACATGCCTACAGTTAATTAATATCAGTGAATTAATCCACTGATATTGTTACCCATCTCGTAATCTAACCATCTCACCTCTGAACATTCTTGCATTGTCTTACATGAACTTTTTTCTTTTTTAATTTAATTGATTTTGTTTTTTAAATACAAGACAGCAGAATGTATTACAATTCTTATTATACATATAGAGCACAATTTTTCATATCTTTATACATAAAGTATGTTCATGCCAATTCATGTCTTTATACATGTACTTTTTTTGCACTACAATTCTTATTACACATATATTCCACAGTTTTTCATATCTCTGTCTATAAAGTAGGTTGACACCCAATTTGTGTCTTTATACATGTTCTTTGGATAATGATGTCCATCACATTCCACCATCCTTGCTAATCCCCTGCCTCCTCCCTTTTTTTTAATAAAGAAAAATGGTTTATTTTGACTCATAACTTTAGAGATTTCAGTTCATGATCATGAGCAGACTCATTGCTTTTAGGCCTCTGGTGAGGGTGCCAGATGGCAATAGCAGGGAACTCATAGTAGAGAAAACTACTCCCCATATGGCCAGGAGCAAGAGAGACAGAGGAAGGGGTCTGGTGTCCCACAATCCATTTCAAAGTCATGCCACCAATGGCCTAAGTACCTCCCACAGTATCCCTCTTCATGAAGGTTCTGTCAGCCCCCAATAGTGCTACCCTGAGGACCAAGCCTTTATCACCTGGGCCTCTGAGGATATTCAACCTCCAAACCACAGCACCTGCTACAGACCAATACCTAAGGCCACACAGCAGCTATGTGGTATGGGAGCTTTAGGTCCTGCTTCTGGAACCTGGCAATGTGGCTGATGATCAAAGAAATATGCATAAAACAGCAATGTGGCTTACAGGGCCCTCCTTCCACGAGATCTATTTACACAGTCTGAGTGAGCTGCCTGCCGTTTTGTCTTACATGAACTTTTGAGGGATACTTCATATCTAAACCATTATCCCCACCCCCAACATCCTGAGTACTTTTCACTAGCTCACCTCAGTGCTTTAAAATGATAAGTATATACATTTTTTGCCAATTTAAAAATAAATTCTAAAAAGTAAAACAACAGTATTTGGTGGGAGTACCAGGGATTGAACTCAGGGGCACTCAACCACTGAGCCACATCCTCAGCCCTATTTTGTATTTTATTTAGAGACAGGGTCTGAGTTGCTTAACACCTCACTTTTGCTGAGGTTGGCTTTGAACCTTCGATCCTCCTACCTCAGCCTCCCAAGCTGCGGAGATTACAGGCATGCTCCCAGCAACAATAGTATTTTTAAAACTCCCTTCCTTTGTTTCTGCAGAATTCAATCTCTCTTCCCTCTATTGTACTAGTCTTCAATAAAGTCTTCCTCCCCTGCTTAGCTTTATCCAATGCAGCTCTTACTTTGATTCTGTTTTAGTCAGCTATTTGGCTGCTGTGACTAAAAGACCCAACCAGAACAACTGCAGAGGAGGAAAAGTTTATTTGGGAGCTCATGGTTTAAGAGGTCTCAATCCGTAGAGATAATACTCCATTCCCTGGGGCTCAAGGTGAGGCAGGACATCATGTCAGAAGAGTGTGGCAGAGGGAAGCAGCTCATATAATGATCAGAAAGCAGAGATTCCACTCTCCAGATACAAAATATCTACCCCAAAGCCATGCCCCCAATGCCCTACCCCCTCTAGCCACATGCCACCTGCCTTCAGTTACCACTCAATTAATCCCAGAAGGTGATTAATTCACTAATTGGGTTAAGTCTTTTATAACCCATTCATTTCTTCTCTGAACCTTCTTGCATTGTCTCACATGTGAGCTTTTGGGGGACAACCTCACATCTAAACCATAACAGACTCTCTTCATTTAGAATGACATTTCCTTATTCTGCTTAAGCTCTAACAGCCCCACACCAGGCCCTGGTGTATGGACACCCTCCTCACTTGACTCTAGCTCTGATTCCCAAGCCAGACTACTGCTTTGCATGGACAYCTTCCGGCTCTGACTTCTTGCTCAGGGCCACATTGAGTCCTCTATTCTCCCACCACAGACATCTGTCTTTCTCTACCAAAAATGTTTTTAGGACTGAATTGTTTAGAAATGGAAGAGCAAGAAAGAGAAGGTAAAGGAAAGAGGAAGAGTTCATTTATTTATTTTATTCCATTTCTACTTGCCCTGAATGTACATCAGAACTACGACTTATGCTTGTCTCTTTCCCTAAGGATACATGACTGTCCCGCAGAGGTTCTGGGCCTCGTGCTTTTTGAAAGCTCCCCAGATGATGTTAATGTTCAGTGTGGGTTAAGAACCATTTCTTTATCAGAGGCAAAAAGGATCGGACTGTAGGTTGCAGGTGAATTAAGGATCTGGAGAGTGAAGAAAGTGTGAAAGCCTATCAGATGTCTTCGATTTCGTCCATTATGCAGAAAGAGACGCCACTGGTTGAAAGTGATGACAATCAAAATTGTCCATAAAATGGATAATTTACAAAATAATGCTTGTTGAGAAAGGGAGACAAAGCTTAATTTAAGTACTGTAGATGACAGGGCGGTGTACATTGCCTACTTAAAGTTAAATGCTGCAGAACTTTAAGTTTCTCAAATGTTAAATTTTTATTTATTTATTATTTTTTTACAATGTTTAATATATTTTTTAGTTATAGGTGGATACAATATCTTTATTTTATTTTTATGTGGTGCTGAGGATCGAACCCAGTGCCTCACCATGCTAGACAAGCCCTCTGCCTCTGAGCCACAACCTAGCCCTAAATTTTTATTTTTAAAGGAATATAAAGAAAAATGAAAAGAAGTCAAAAACAGGAAAATGAAATTGACTTTGAATAATCTTCTTTTTCTCCCTTTGTATATTCTGTATTTAAGTTTGAAAATGAATGTTCATTATATTTAAAATTGAAAAAATGATGATTTTAGTTTTATTGAGGTAAAATAGATTTTATATTATATTTTATATTTATATTATATTTATGTTTAATATAACAATATAAATATATATTATTATAATAACATAATATTATAATATATTTATATAACTATATTATTAAAATATATATATTTATATTATATTATCTATATCCCTAAGGATACAAGAAGATACATAACTGTCATATATATATATATATATATATATATATATATATATATGCAAAATCAAATACACATTTAAATGTACCCATCTTAACAAGTGTGGGCATATGCATACACCTGTGGTACCATCACTACAATCAAGTTATTCCTCCAAAAAGAAAAAATAACATTTTAATTTTCATAAGATAATAAAATAAATCATGACTCAACAAGCAGAAGAATTTAAGGGCACTCTTTTACTTTACGAAGCTGCCATGACAAAGTAACACAAACTGTGTGTCTTAACAGAAATTTGTTTCCTGGCAATCCTGGAGGATCAAGTGTGTCATGAGTGTTGGTGTCTTCTGAGGCCTCTCTCCTGGCTGACAGATGGCTGTCCCTACCTGATTCTTCACACGGTCTTCCCTCTACACATATCTTGAGTTCAAATTTCCTCTTCTTATAAGAATACCAGTCAGGATTAGTGTCCTTCCTAGAGACCTCATTTCAACTTAATGACTTCCTTAAAGACCCTACCTCCAAATATAATGGTATTCTGAGGTTCAGGATTTTAACATTTGGATTTGGGGAAAACAATTCACCCCAAAACAGCACTTACATCACACCAAGATTTTAATGTTTTTCCTGATAGTTCTGTTTTCTCTGTATTGTCAGTTGTTACCACCCTCCCCCCGCCCCCGCCACTGCCACACACACACACACACACACACACACACACACACTCTGATTTCTTAGCTTTTATGACTTAAAAATCTGCCTAGTAATCAATTTTCTAAGCCACAGTACACATTTATGGATAATTTTCTGCGATGTAATTTTTTGAAGTATTTTACATTCGTTCAAACCTAAGTAAATATGCTCTAAAGCAAAACTGAAACTCCCTGCATTTCCACTTCCTCGTTGTGCTTCTGTACAGAAATCCAAACACACCCTCAGAAGAAGTCAGAGCCCCAGAGGCCGGACAACTTACAGCTTAATGGCTTTACTTTTAGAAAAACTAACATCCTTCCAATCATATATTTCTTAGCCATCAGAAAAGAAATAAGACATCAAAGGTTAAAATGACTGGTTTCAATTTTTGGAGATAAAAAGAAGTTTTCTGGAAAATTCTGGTAAGTTCCTGAATGAGCTATTTCTTAAAATGCCAGCTRTACTTTTTATATAAATACATGTTTGTACATAAACCATTACTTGTAAAAATGTTAATTAGAATATCATTGTATTGAATACATATCAGTATATGTATTGATACTAACTTATGTCTTTCTAAAAAGAAATGTGCTGTTAAGTGTAATTAAGGTGATGAATACCAATCAGACTAGTGAAAGGGCTTCTGGTCATAGAAGGTGAGTGGTGGAAAAGAATATAGAGAAACAGTGCTAAGTGGGTCAGGAATTTAAGCATAAAGGATTGTTACAGAATCTGCATTCCTGTGTAATTATGCAAAATCCTGTCTTTCATAATGTAAGATGTTATTAAGTGTTACACTTCATCAGAGATAATGCTCTCCAGAGACCAGCTATACTTCTATTTTAAATCTTCCATTCATAGCCATTCCATACAGCAATCTGATTGAAAAAAAAATTAAAAAAAAAATTCATTGCCTTCGGGGAAATCGAAACTAACTTACTTGTGTGTGGTTTCAATTTGTCATCCCATTGGAGGAGGGTGTGGCTAGCTCTCCCTGGCTGCAACCCAGACTCAAAAGTGTCTTTTCTCTGCCCACAGCTCTAAGAATCTTGCAGAGCAGAACAAATTCTCTAGGTGTGGATATATGGGGTGTGGCTAAGAACCCCCTGAGACTGAGGTGGGCACCCAAAATATGTGTCCCCAAGAGCTCTGTTGACTTGGTACTTCCTGCTTAACATCAAAAAGAAAGCTGGAGTCGTTCCACTGAGAGTGGCATCCAGCAGCTGCTTTGTCCATAAGTAACAGTACTAATAAGAAGATATGTGGTCACAGTTGTTCCAAAACAGGAATCCGACAGCCAAAGAGTGATGTCAAGAAATTCTCAAAAGTTTGTTCACACCAACCATGATAGTTTTGATCTTAACTTACTTCCAACATTACATGAACAGAGGCTTTTTAAATCATGAAGTGCAAACTATTTTCAAAACTTTAATGACTGCTGTAGGTTTGAATCATCATATGTTCATAACTTCTATCATGTTGAGGAGGCAGGGTTGAGAACTTTTGGGCATTAATAATAGTCCTAGAGAGTTATTAAATAATTTAGTATTTCATATTAAGACAAGATATTGATTTTTTTTTCCTTTAGTGTAAGCAAAGAGTTTAGATTTGGGGTCTGTACATCAGTGTGCCTATCTGAAAATAATATTTCTATTGCCTTGGTACCTGTGGGCAAATTCAGAATAAAAGTAACTGAGAGAAAGCTGTGCCCTGATTGGTGGCACCAGGTCAATTTTGCTGCACTTCGTATGGTAGACAGACACAGAATGAGTCACTGCCTCTGCAGAGGCCAGAGAGCTGTAAAAGAGAGAGGGGCTGCAGAGGAAGTTCCTGATGTGCTGCTCCATTTCTAGAATGTTGGGTCCTACTGGAATTGCTATATTCTGGGGCCAAAGCAAATAAGAAAACCGGGATTCTGTCCTTTCAATCTTTCAGGTAACCAGAGAGAGGGTGGAAGGTTAAACTGCTGGAAGAAGATTGTGGCTAAATAAAGGTGCTGCGTGAGTGAGGCCTTATTGGGGTGAGTTGGTGGGAAGAGGCAAGGTCCTCACCAGGAGATCAGCTTCCAGAGCAAAGGCAGCAGGTGACAACACAAAGGCTCTGAAACTCAGAGGCTGAGGACCCAGAGTAAAAGGGACCTCCCCAGGGAACGCCCTATCTGAGCAATGGCCTTGTTCCAGGACTGGAAGGGATGCAGTAAAAAGCTGAGAAGGTATAACATGAAACCAGTGCCTACAAGGACCGAAGGAGAAAATACACTTATTCATTTTCCCTTCCTTTTGATAAAACTTCCTTTTCGTTTTTGTGACTAGATAATAGAAGCCGGAGTTAGCTCTGACCCAGTGAGTGGCACAGAGAAGAGATCTCCCTAGACGTCTGTCTGGGATTTCAGCCAAGTGAAATGATAATCACCCTAACAAAATGAGAAAAGTCCACTGACCTACACACATTGCTAGTTGGAGGGTTTTCAAAAATTCCTTGTTTTTAACTACTCTAAGAAAATATGTTATTCATCCAAAGATAGTCCAAGGAGAGGAAAGGAGTGCAGCAGACCTAAAAGGAGCAGATGCTTCCTGAAACAAGGAACCACAAGGAAGCGGGGGGCTGGAACAGACTGAGATCTAGAAATGAAAGTTAAGATGTAATCGGAGGGCCAGCAAGGTACCAGCTCACATGGGGCCCTGAAGTCCATAACAAAGGACTTGGCTTTCACTCTGAGTCAAAGGGACAGCCACGGGAGGGGTTGAACAGATTATTGGTGTGACATTATATACATTTTAACAGGGTCACTCCAGCTGCTATTTTGAGAAGTCCAAAAGGGATCAATAACAGTAAGAGAGAACATGTGAGATACTTATCCTGCAATTCAGAAGAGAGAAGATGGAGGCTTGGACCAGGTGGGAGGCAGGTGGTCAGATCCTGGATATATGGGGACCAGCCTAGGGATTGTTCCACAGTGAATGTGAAATGTAGGAAAAAAGAAACAGCATGCCTGCAACATATTTTGGGATATTTATTTGTTTTATTCACAGTGTGTAAGCATAGAAAAAGACCTATCTAAGGAATAACATTTATTTTCCCTATCCTCCCAGGTTTTCTCTATGTTTGAAAGTATTCAGAATAGAAAGTTAGAGGGAAAGTCTGTATAATAAATACTTCCTAAGCAGAAGTTCAGTCCCTGCATTTTAATTTGTGGTGGTATTTGTTTTAGTTGTTGTTTTGCTTTTGATGTGATAGATTCTCAACAAATATGTTCTTAGGAAAACTGAACAAGGACCATCTGTGCTCTACCTGCATCTCTGCTTCCTAGTTGATTTACAGAATGAGATTTCCACAGATTCTCAAGCAAATGCAACTCATTCAAGTGTTCTAGATCAAAGAGGCTCGGGAAGACGTGTTTCAAGTTTCTGATAATAAAAAAATATAAATTTTCAGAAAAGTCCTGGTAAGTTTCTAATTATTCGTTTATTTAAGCAACTCTCATTAAAAGCTGTCTTTATAAACTAACTCTAAAAACTTAAGGAGATCGTTAGAAATGAATATTCTTTCAAATGCATTTAAGTATTTGTGATTAATTGATTTTAAAAGAAATGACAATGGAAGAACGGGGTAAAATGTCGACCAGGAGATCAGGATTCCAAGCATACCAAACCACATAGAATATTGTAGGCAACTATGAACTCTGACCAATAAAACTTAAGATGATATCAAAAGTTTATATTTACCTTAGATAAAAACCCTCCAAAGTTTAATCGTTGTTTTATTTAAGACCTTCCTTCACACAACTAGCTGGTACAGAGACTATGTGAAGAAATACATCCTTACAATATGCAATACAGGAAATTGACTAACTTGCTTTGTGGTTTCCTCTGGCCAAGCATTGGAGTGGTGCAGAGCTGCAGGGTTGTAGCTGTGCTGAAGGAGGGGATGCCTGCTGGCTCTGAGAGATTGGGTTTGGTACCAGAGATGTCCCTGACAGGGTGCTGCTTTGATCCTTCCTGAGCAGCCCCCCAAAAGGGAAAATAAAAGTCCTTAGGGAATAGAGCCTGAATTTAATTCTAATAAGGAGAACCTCTGGGTTTCAAAATTAGTTTGCCAGAGGAGGTGGTGGAGGACTTCCCCAGAGTTTCAACCAGCTATACCACTAATCACACCAGATAGAGGGATTTCATACGCACTTCTTTTGAAGAGACTGAACAAAAACTCAACAAACAAGACAATACTGGTTCTCATCCACTTCCCCTCTATTATGAATAGGAAAGTGGTCTGCCTAAGAGGAGAGCTCCCTTAATCATGACATAATTTTACTGATTACAATTCCTTTCCCTTTATACATACTATATTGCTTTCTGCTAAACATCAAGGTCCTTTGCTGTTTAGAAAACATACCAATAGTCCAGGATTTAAGGTTGAAGACATAGAAAGAAACAAGGAATTATGTCAAAGCCTTATCAAAACCTTTTTGCTCATATCATTGTGAGCTGTGTAATATATAGCTCCAGTCAAATATGGATCATAGGTCATATAAAATGCTACTATAGTTATCAGAGGTCAAAAGTTATGTAAAAGTGGTTCAAATGTATAGTAGCTGCAAATTATGTATCTTCTCAACTACCATCATAGAGGTGGATGACTGAGAAATGTTTGATGCTAGAAAGGAACCTTCATCTTTTTTGTTTTCTTTTTCTTTTTCTTATTTTTAGTACCAGGGATTGAACTCAGAGGTACTCTACCACTGAACCACATCCCTAGCCCTATTTTGTATTTTATTTAGAGACAGGGTCTCACTGAGTTGCTTAGCGCCTTGCCCTTGCTGATCCTCCTGCCTCAGTCTCCCCAACCGCTGGGATTACAGGTGTGCACCATTGTACCCAGCAGGACCTTCATCTTTGAACAATGAAGGACTCTTTGACATACAGTAGAGATTTTTAAAAAGCAGCAGGCTTGGGGAGGACAGTCACCTCATTTGAAGAGTTTCTATCTCCCAGGAATTCAAGCAACAAAGAAGAAAGTGAGGGGGAATTTGTCACCTTGTGAGATGACACACAAAGTCCAGCCTTCCACCATCCCCCACATTCCTTTTTCTGTCCCCCACCTCTAGTGTCTGCTAAGCAGAAAATCCTTAATGTGCTGTTTCTTGTAGAGTTTGACAAATGAAGAGATTTTTAAGTTCTTTGTTTCATAAGCATTGCTAACTCATGGATTTCCAAAATGACAATTCTATTGTTTTACTACTCAAAAAATCTTATTTTTTTTTCATTCAAAAGAAAAAAAAAACTCATTGAGTACTAATTCTCTGACAGGACCCAGGGCTTCATCAATCAATGTGTGGCAAAAAAAAAAAAAGTCTGTTTTCATGTGGTTTATTCTGTAGTTTCTAAGACAGAATGAGACGAGGATTAAGTAAAATCTGTAGTATGTAAATCCCAAAAAAGAAAATTGAATCAGGGAAGAATGAGGAAAAGTGCTGAGGAAGAAGTCTCTTGTTTAACACAAAATTTTAAGACAGGAATACAACAAAGGCCTTTCTGAATCTGAGTAAAGGGGTGAAGGAAGTGAGGATGTGAGCTATGCAGGCATCTAGAGGAAGAGCATTCCAAGCACAGGGAGCAGCTGGTCTGAAGACTGATGATGCACCAGCATGGCTGGCATATCCGAGCAACAGCACAGCATGAGTGGCATGAGTGGAGGCGATGAGGTCAGAAAGACAGTGGGGTAGGCRGATTGTGTGGGACTTTAATGGCTTTTATTCAGAGGGTTTTGAGCAGACAGGCACGATTCCACTAACATTTTAACAGAATCACGTTGGCTGCTCTGTTGAAAATAAAATGAATAGGTTGAGGAGTAGGGACAAGCCAGGGTCAGACAGACCAGGTAACAATGAGTGAATAAGTCAAGAAAGAGATGATGGCTTGGACCAGGGTGGAAGCAGTAGTGATGTGAGAAATGGTGGGATTCTGCAGACACCATGCAGGTGAGGTTGAAAGTCCTGGGAAATATAATGAATATGAGGTGTGTGGAAAGGGAAGCAGTCACAGCTGCCCTTTGCTGTGAACCACTGGTGAATTCCATTCATTGATAAGACTGTGGGGGAGCAGGTTTGGGGTGGGAGGGATAAATATCAGGAGACTGATTTTAGCCATGTTMTAAGGACCGTGAGATGCTCAAGCCAACACAGAGAAGGGAAGATATACTGATGAACTGAGGGAAGCGAAGAGGAGGGTTTAACTAGCTTCGTCATCTAGGAAGGGAGTGGTAGAGGGAAGAGACTGATTACAATGAGTGGCCAAGACACACAAAGCCAGTTAAAGGGGGAAAAGCAGGAACAGGAGGACAAGGATTGCCACTGCAAGGTACCACAAACCGGGTCTCTTCAACAACAGAAATGCGTTGTCTCAGAGAAACCCAGACAACAGCTGTGAAGAAGAGCCTGTTCCATGCCTTAGGGAGGTGGTGTGCTGGCAATCTTGGGGGATCCTGGGCTTACAGAACATGACCGTGACCTCTGCTTTTTCTTCACATACTGTTCTCCCTAAATGTGTGCCTTTGGGCCCAAATTTCCCCTTTGTATAAGGATACCAGTCCTAGTGGATTAGGGTCCACCCTAATGACCTCATGTTAACTAAGGACTTCTATCTCCAAATAAGGCCATATTCTTAGGTCCTGGTGTTTAAGACTTTAGCACACAAAAGGGGAAGGCATGCAATTCAATCTATAATAGTAATGACATGGTCAAAGGTGTGACCGTGGAATGGAGGTGGGTTGAGGTTCAGATCATCAAACAAGAAGTAGTAAGTCAGGTGACAGATTCACGTATTGGAAGGATCAATTATATGTCTATTGAGCAACCAAAAAATTATGACAGAAATAGTATCTGTGGGCATGAATGTTCTCTGCTTTTCAGCTGCCTATTGAAAGGTGTTAAAATGTATAAGAAATCAAATATTCAGGCAAGTTATTCAAGTATAAAATATTTCAAGTCTAAATTTTAAAATAAGATAGCATCATGTTCTTTAATAGCTCATATTAGATGAGAGTGGTCACTTTTCATCCAGTCTTTTCTCCAAGATGACTTCAGAAAAACCTTTCATTAAGAATTCTTTTTTTAATAACTGTTTTCACTGTCGGTTGCATGATGCTTGCAAATGGGTAAGGAAGGCACCTTTCAGTCTCACCTCAAGTGGCACTAAGGGYCTCTGTAGAGAAGACAGAGACATCAGGGCTGAGTTCCCCAGTCTCCCAGACTTGAGGAGTCAGCTACTGGTCTGTCTTCCTCCACTCAGGTAACTTCACAACAGGCCAGTGCCCTAGCTCTGTGTGGAAGGCACTGCCCTATACTGAACATATACACCATATTCCTTAGACCTTACTGGACCTTTTTTTATTGGTACATTATGGTTGTACATAATGATGGGGTTTGTTTTTACATATTAATACATTCACACAATATAACAATATAATTGGGCCAATATCCCTCTTCAGCACTTACCCCTCCCTCCTCTCCTCTCACCCTCTGGTCTCCTTTCTCTATTCTGCTGATTTCCCTTTGTTTTTCATGTGATCACCTCCCATCTGTCGTTTCCCTTTTCCTCTCTACTTTCCACCATGAGAGAAAACATGTGACTCTTGACCTTCTGATTTTGGCTTATTTCACTTAACATAATGGTCTCAAGTTCCATTCATTTTCCTGCAAATTACATAATTTCAGTTTTTATGGCAGAATAAAACTTCTTTATGTATCTATACCACATTTTTCTTTACCCACTCACTTGTTAGTGGACACTTAGGCACAGTTTGGCTATTGTGAATCGTACTGCTATAAACATGGGGATAAATATATCAATACAGTATGATGACTTTGATTCCTTAGGATAAATAACAAGGAGAGGTACAGCTGGGTCATATGGTGGTTCTGTGTCTAGTCTTTTGAGAAACCTTCATACTGATTTCCATAGTGGTTGTACTAATTTACAATCCCACTAACAGTATAAAATTGTTTTTTTCTCTCTACATCCTCTCCAGCATYCATTATTGTTTATATTCTTGATAACGGCCATTCTGATTGATATGAGATGAAATCTCAGTGTAATTTTGATTTGCATTTCCCTAATTGCTAATAAGATTGAACATTTTTTTATATATTTGTTGGACATTTGTATTTCTTCTTTTGAGAAGTGTCTGTTTAATTCATTTGCCCATTTATTAATTGGGTTATTTGGTTTTAAGGTGTTAAGTGTTTTGAATTATTTATATATTCTAGATATATATATATATATTCTAGATATATACAAAGGTATAACTAGCAAAGAGTTTCTCCCATTTTGTAGATTATCTCTTCACATTCCTAGTTATTTCCTATGTTATGCAGAAGCCTTTTAATTTGATGTCATCCCATTTATCAACTCATGTCATTATTTCTAAGCTTTTGGGATCCTTTAGAGTAGA